GCCATGGGCCCCTCCTCCCCAGGAGGAGGCGTGGATGAGGCGAGGCGGCGTGTCCCCGGGGCTGCGCTCCGGGCAGGGGCACTCTATCCACAGCTGGAAGACGGCTGGCATGCGATGTGCTTGGCCTCCCTGGGCAGGCAGTGCCCCCGATCACTTCACCCCTGGAGCACTGCTGCCGGGAGCTCGGGGAGCGTGGTCCCCACGCGCACACATAGCAGGGAGCCTCAGGGTGTGGTCAGTGTCCCTCCCCTGAGCAGGGCCACACCCTGCGGAAGCCCAGGCCCTGAGCGAGGCTGTGTACAGTCCTGGCAGCCTCGGTGCCACTCATCGCGGGGCCCCTCCTGCTCGGGTCTGCAGGACTGGGCATGGTGGCTGGGCTGTGGCTGTTGGGCCGTGGCTGCTGGGCTGTGGCAGCTGGGCCGTAGCAGCTGGACCATGGCGGATGGGCTGTGGCTGCAGGGCCCTTTCCCATGTGCAGCCTGGCCGGTGTCTGCCATTGTCCTGAGCCGCCCTCACTCTCCTCATGACAGTCAGGACATCAACTATTTTCTTTGTGTTTGTTTTTGTTGTTATGTGCAACTTTGTTGTTGCAGAGGTTTTACTTTTCCTGTGTGTGTGTGTGTGTGTGTGTGTGTGTGAGATTGTGTGTGTGTGCATATGTGTGTGCATGTGTCTGTGTGTACACACGTGTGTGCATGTGTGTGTGAGAGTGAAACTGTCAGAAGGGTTGCCGGAGCCCCGGTCCCGCAATGGGGCTGAAATCCAGGACCTTCAGGCACCTGCCCAGCCCATCTCTAAGGTGGGACGGGCTCCCTGCGCCCTCCGCAGGTGCGAGCCCGGGAAGCCTTCCACCCTTCACATTGAGACCCCCCCAAAGCCCTGGTCCCCCAGGATCCCAGTTGGCCCGTCACCCAGAGCTGAGCCCCCCACAGTGCAGTGCGGAGTGGGGAGCCCCTCCTGGCCATGGGGGCGTGGGACGGGTCCCTGAGGAGTGTGCGGGGACTGTGTCAGAGCCACGCCTGCCTGGCTGCGTGCAGGCTGGGCAGGCGGAGCGGAATGAGCGGGGCTGGGAGCACGGAGCTGCGGCCGAGCTCGGGGAGGCTCTGGGCCCGTCCCCCAGCACCCCTCCCGGGTCCCTCGGAGACGGGGGGCTCAGATGACAGCTCATCAGCCCTGACGTCCTGCAGATCCAGGCCACACACGAGACAGGGCCCGGGCACACAGGCCTGTCCTAACATGCACGCACATATACACATGTGTGGACACTCGTGTGCACATACATGCACAACCATGCACACATGTATATGCATGCACACATGCATGTGTGCGCACACACGTGCACATGCACACACTCCACCCCCCAAACTCCTGTTTCTTAAATACATCAGGTTCAGGGTTGTCCTCCCTCCCACCTGCCACCGGCATTCGCTCAGGAGCCGCTCTGACCATGGCGGGGGGCGGGGAGGGGGCGGTGAGTGCTCTGGGTCCGAGGGGCCTGCACAGCCTCTGCGAAGGCGCCCACCGCTCCCCTAGGAGACGGTCCCCACGCATCCGTGAGCCGCACACACAGCCACATGGCGCTCGCTCAGCACGTGGGGGTTTCACTGACTCACCTTCCTCCTCTGGGTCCAGGACACGGTGGGTCCAGTGGAAATGAAGACAAGCGTGTGTTTCTCAAAACGTAGATGCGTGCGCATCGCACCCGGAATTTCCTCCTGGAAGAGCCCCCTGACTTCCTTCCCGCGTGTGAGGGAAGTTCCTCTCCCTGACGCTGCTGTTTCCGTCTGCAGAAAGCTGCCGCTCCGGGGCCTCTGAGACGGGGGGACAGTGAGCTCCCCGGGCCCATGTGGGCTTATCACACGCCCTCCACCCCTTCCTTGTTCTTCCGAGCGGTCCTCCCTGAACCCAGTGCCCACGTCATGGCCGCCCGGCCGTCTGAGCCCGAGGCCAGAGGTCAGGGGACAGTCTCTGTGGACACATGCGGGTCTGGCTCCGCGGGCAGGGCCTCGCGTCGCTCCAGCAAGCCGGTCCATGCCCTCGTTTCTGAGATCAGAGAGAACGGCTCGCGCCTGGGTCCCCCGGCCGTCACAGGATCCAACCGCCCCGAAAGCGACACTTTTCTCTCTAGAAACAGTAGAATTCGCAGGGAGATACCGTGCCGACCGGAGAAGAGAAGAAGAACCCTGTGGTTGTGTTTGGCTGCATTTACCGTGTGTGTGAGCGTCTGTGAGTGTGTGTCTGTGGGTCAGTGTCAATCCACGTCGTGTCCTAAGCATCCGGGTGGTCCAGCCACGGCCACGGCCACTTCGGAGGCACATGCTGTGCCGTGAGTCACCGTCACGTCCCACAGGTCGGTCCGCGTGCCCCTGCTGCCCCTGCCGTCCCTGCCCCGCCCCGTGTAAACCTGCTGCGGTGACTGCCTCCCACAGGCAGGCCGCACGGCCATTCCTTCAGACAGAGCCCTGCACGGGGATGAAGGGAGGCACGCCCGCTGGGCACTTAGGATGCAGGCAGAGCGCCGCCCGGTACGGAAACCGCTGGACACATCCCTGTGGACTGAGTCCCCTGGGCAGCGGCCCAGTGGACAATCGCCACCAACATTGCGCCCTGTTGGGCCTCTGACCGGCCCCACAGGCCGGGAATGTACTCACGGGAGTTGCGTGCCCGCCACACGCAGACGCGTGCTCACAGCAGCAGCTGTGTAACCAGCGGTCACCGTCATCCCTGCGCGGAAGATGAGTGAGCAAATGGGTTCTGTTCACGAAGCGCCGTCCCACGCAGCGACGGGGCAGGCAGCGGCGTTCCCACAGGACGTTCCCCCGGGGCCGGGACAGCATCCCACGCGCCCCGGCTTTCCCCGCGACCCCCTCGTGTGGAGCAACATCGGACACAATCTCCACAGCCAGCAAGAACGAGGACAGAATGCCTTAAAGCCACAGCCACCTGACACAGCAGGTGGGGTTCCCCCCGGGACCCGCCTCCTCCAGCAGCTTCCTCTCGCAGCCCTCGGGGCACGCCGCCAGCCGGGCGTGACTCCCAGGCCTGTTTTCAGAATTACACCAACAAAAACGGGGACGCGCCCGACCGTCCCCCGGGGCCCAGGCACCAGCGGGTGCCCAGGGTTGAGCCTGGCAGGAGCAGGTCCCTGCAGAGAGCGGCTCTGTGATGGGAGAGATCCGCTGTGAGCCCTCACTCCGCCCCGCAAGCTGGGCACCTCCGGGCTGGTTACTCACCGTCTCTGATTCCCCAGCCGGTCAGCACGGCAAGACACGAAGGCAGGTGCCGTGTGGACCGCGTGTTCGTTACGCACTGAGCGCAGTGCCTGGAGCGTGGCGAGCATGAAGTCAGTGCCCGCTGCTGGTGCCGTCACCTCTGTGAGCCACCAGTGAGCGGCCTCCTCCCCTGCCGAGGCCGCAGCTCCGCCTTCGAGCAGCCACAGATCACGCTCACGCTTGTTGCGTTGCGGCCCCTTTGCCCGCATGGCTCGCGGGCGGGTGTCGCCGTTCTGTGCGCAGGGCAGCAATGGCCGACGTTTCTGAGAAAAGACGTGTTTCACAGCTTCGTTCTCACATTTCAGATTGAGATCGAAGTCCCGTTGGTCGGCCTGGTCATGTTTCTTGTGAAAAGGGGATAATATTCACGACTAACCGAACCTTTGGTTCTGCAGCCCTTTCCCGCTGATGTGGGTGGCGGCTCTGTTTTCACGGGAATCCCCGCGTGTGGGTGTCACGCTGCCGATGGCGCTGTGTGGGTTTGGGGAGACATTTTGGGCAACGTGGCCGCCAGGAGGACCCCGCGTGGAGGCAGGTCTCTGTCCTGTGCTGGCGTCACCCTGCGGGCGCGGCCCTCCTGGCGCCCACACCCCCTCCGTGTGTGTGGATGTGGATGCAGACGCCCGTCCGGCTCCAGTGAATCGCCCCCTTGTCGTTCGCTCTCTGGTCCGCGCTGTGCTTGCTTCCTCCCCTGGAGGGTGTGGGAGAGCCGGGAGGCCCAGTGGTAGCGCAGCCCAGCAGAGCCCGGGCGCGAGCGGTTGTGTGGGATCCGGTGAAACTCGGCGGCACACGGTCACCGATGCGTGCGTGGCCCTCTCTCTGTGGTTCTCCCGGCCGCGTGCATCTCTGCGTTAATTACACAAACGCGTAATCAGTTACAGCCAGTGAGCACGCACAGGTCCCGCGCCCCTGCTCTGAATGCCATGTTCTGTGTTGAATTAGGTGGAGACCGCCACGGACTCGGACACGGAGAGCCGCGGCCTGCGCGAGTACCACTCGGTCGGCGTGCAGGTGGAGGACGAGAAGAGGTAACGCAGCCCCTCGCGGATGC